ACACAGTCAAGCGGAGTCTAACTGGACATGAGTTCTCTGTAGGCCTACGTGTTGTATTACTACACCGCGTTCGTTTAGCCAACAAGCATATGGCATTGATTTCTGTTACGATCCAAAAAAGTCCAAACTATTTAATCATTCTGAAGCTTCAATTTTCTCCGATGCAACAAAGAAATCAAACAAGATCACACTGATACAAATAACAAGGAACAAATAAACAAGTATGATTTAATGAGAATGTTAGAACACTTAAAAATAAAGGGAACTGTTGACCAGAACAAGAACAAGTTGACAAGGAATATATCGTTATAAACAAGGTTTTTTACGGGCGAGAACTTGGCAATGCAAGACCGTTAGACTCCACAGATGGCAGAAAACACAGTGCAAAAATAAGCTATTACGGGGACGAAGACCACGTCAAATAAGACTGACCGGGATCGAAACGAAACGGCAAGGGTGTGATGACCGTCGTAAATACGGGAACTTGATGATCTCACAAACTGGAACTGGATTCAGTTTACAAACTGTCTATTCCGGAACAAAATTCAGCTTTGCTCTTCACTTGGTCTGGACGAACTTTTCTTACAAGTCTCGCTCGACAGACGACTCGCCGCCACAGGTTGAAATGGTACAGAAGTCAACAAGTCAAAGACTTCTCACAGCCTGCATACGGTATTCGAAATCTCTCTTGAGGTGTGTGTTTCCCAGTCTTTCCCGATTTTATAGTCTACAATTCTTCCAGAGATTTCTCTCATTACGTAGGGTTCTTAAAATACATTTCTTAGCATTATTTAATCTTATGAGGAAACCCAAGAATATATACCGGAAATATCGCCAGCTTTCTTGTAATTTCCACGTACAACGAGAATATTCATTACTATTCATTCACTGTGGCCTGGGGTCAAAGCGGGTCACACACAGAATCGTGGGCGTAAACCGAACATTTCATCTGCGCAATACATGAAAGAGACCGAGTTGAAACAAAAAAAAATACTGTACTCGATAAAAATGGAGTGTTCATATTTACAACTATATATATTTACTCTCTATCCTGGTAAGGTACGTGGGACAACTGGGTTCAAAGATTCTTGCTAGTCTGAAAAATTATATGTGGTACATTTCAACAGGAGGGCATACAGACAAATCTAGGAAGTGTTACAGTGGCTGAATTCGCCAAACAATTAGAGTCAAGGTACACTTGTTAGTTCTACACAGGAATTGGTGGCTAGACAAGCAGCATGCTCACAAAACCAACCCACTGCCAGACACTGATGGCGACCGTCGGTAGGTTATAGCGAGAAATTGTGCAGTTGTACAAGATTACACTGCACGTATATATTTATTGAAACTTAATATCTGTATTGTTAATCATTTTTCCGTTGTTTTCAACACATGCAGCCCTTAGCTTTATGTTTTGGTAAATGTTATAAAGTCACTGAAAAGCTAACCAGAACTCTGGAAATACTTGCCTGTATTCCTCTTCAATAGCAAAACTAGACATACCAAAATCTTTAATCCTCTTAAATGACTCTGGTCACACCTAACACAACATAAGTTCAGTATCCATGGTCAGTATTTAGTGGGAGGCTCAAAAGCTTACTTGCGTCCTAAAATGGTGCTAGATACACGGAGCTACGTACAGTTCACGGAAAGCTAGTGCACTGGCCGGAATATATGCCGGCTCTGCTATCAGTGAAATCTCTATGATGTTGCCTATAAAAATAGCAATTCATATCGTACACATTTAGTGTCAATTTCATCTGCCTAACGTTTCACAAACATGGAAATATAAAGAAAGCTTTCAAGATATGTGTTTATCCATTGGCATAAGTTACACACATTACTTTTAGAAAACATTTTTAAATATTCCATAAAAATGCAAAAACGTAAGCATATCCGCCTTTAGCTTTTATACTTCATTGCCTGATAGTTTTTACAACACCTCGGCAATAGATTCTGTGTACTTGATTGGCCTAGGGATAGCCACATGACGCGCTTTATTTGTTATTTTGCTGCATGCGGCAAATGCAATTATACACGTGTAACCAAAGTAGAGCTGTATCACAGATCTATGAGCTCTTTACTCTACCCATAACAGCCGAAAAACTATACGCATAACAACCGCCACTGCGCACACCTTGAAGCGCTACCGCCAAACGGCTTGATAAGATTTTGAAAACCAGCAACAGTGTAGGAAAAATATTTGTTCTTGTATACAATAATACAAAAAACCAAAGTTCAAACCTTTATTGTTAAGCTGTGTGCCTAGCAAGCAATGACGTCCGCTGCGGTATATATAAGTAACCTGGTTTGACAGAGGGCACTCTCAAGTATGTTATAAGCACTCAAGATTGAGTGCATATACGCCACTTTTCAGTAAAAAGGATCTCTCATTAAAACTTGTTTCTATCAACATTTCAATCAAAATCAGGGAGATGCGCCTTTTTTGGTATTTCAGCTAGTCTTGAGATCAGAGTACAAAGTAAGGGGACACATTGTATTCCCTGAAATCACAGGTGATTTGGGAGTCCACGATGAGGCGATAGTTACCTGTAACACCTTATATTTACATATTTCTTTAGCCTAAGGCTTCAAACATTCGTTCATGTTTTATGGCATATTGATACATAACTTGGTTTCCCTATTCAACAAAGCGCAACATGACTGTGTTCTAACATTTGATAATGCCCGATACGATTTGATAATGCCTGCTGCAAAAACGCACTGGCACCTGGGCCCAATTTCACGGAGCTGCTTAACAGCAGAAAATTGTGCTCCAGGAGCAGTTTTGACATATACGCAACGCTTGGCGCAAATGTTGACGCGCATATGGAAAACCGCCAACAGTTCTATCCAACAGATGTTTCAAAGGATTGCTATTTGAAAGCGCCGATCCATTAAAGGTCCATTAAAGGAGAAAAGTCAATATTTGCAAGTCTAAGCCAAGTCACAAGTCATTTGGTCAAGTCACAAGTCAAGTTACCAGTCATTTGATGACAAGTCAAGTCAAGTCAAGTAACTAGTCAATTTGGCCACAAGTCTCAGTGTCGAAGTTGTCGAAGTACAGGACACGTTGCGCGATATGTGATTTCAAGTGATTCAGACGTGGCCTTGGGCAGACAAGACTGAAGTAGAAATCGCGAGCCGAAGAGCTTACGCTATTAAGAACGCAAATCGGTAATGGTGGGCCTAATGTAAAACTTTAATGGGTTCAAGAATTTTTCTGCCTTGCGTTGGTACAAAGTCACAATGTGCAAGTTCGAGTCAGGTCACAAGTCATTTTTTTGCGAGTGTAATCGGAGCGAGGGCAAAGGGGCACATGCCAAATTTAAACTAATCAACCCCACTCGCTGCACAACGGAACGGTTACCACTTTAACTAGGAGTTGGGTGAGAAACTAAATTCATAAGTGTTCATTTACACACATAACGGTGTTCAAAATGGAATATATCTGATTTATAACTGTCTGAACTATATACAAGAGCAAGTTAAACGTACAGTTCCAAATTTGGTTTAAAGGAGGAACGAGTCAAAAGTGGCGAAGTGGTTAAGGTATTAAGTTGCAAACTGATAAGTGAAGAAATAAATGAACCAGTTAACAAATCTATAAATGAATCGGTAATGAGCGAATGAAGCTATACATGAACAAGCAAATGCGCCCATAATTGAAGGGGTAAATTAATCTATAAATGAACGACAGTCAAAAGGAATAAACTGAACTGTATAACTACGCCAGATCTAAAATAACAAAGAAAATCATACTTTGACTTACAAATTTGCTCAAAATTAATGCCGGCGAAGTCAAGATTTCCCTCACGCTCATTTAATAGAAAACCTCCATTCTATTGGCATAAATATACTAATAAAATTACAAACGAATTATATTAATTCAAAATATAACTGCTTGCCAAGCAATATCGGCTCGAAATCCTCACGGCAACAATAGGATTAATTCAGAGTATAAGTTGCTGAAAGAAAACACAAATAATTATTATGGAGTTAGAATCCGCAGAGACCTCAAAATGTCACATTGCCTGTTGCCGCAAGCAAGGAATAGTTGAAAATCAACGAACAGTAGCGATCTGCCCAATCAGAAAACTTCCAATTGCGCAATGAGAATGCGGCCTCTATTGTTTATTATAATGTGCAGCATCTAAAGCTCGCGAACCAGTTCATTTACATGCCGCAAATACTTTATGCACTTGTCATTTGGAAAGGGCTTGTAATAGAAGGGGTTGCTATAAGCTATATAAAAAAGTTAACAAAAAGTCACAAAGGCCGCAAGAGGGTGATGGAAAAGAAGACGTGGCTCTGGGAAATCAAACAGGTGAGGCGTAACAAAACGTTGAATAGCTAGGGGGGAAGGACGTTATTTGCCAGGACCTGTTGGGTGAGGAGGTATTAAAGAAACCGGACTGGTCACACAAGTACATGTTAAGTCAAAAGTTAAAACTGATAGTTACAACCAAGTCACCAGTTACAAAACTCGAGTCCCAGTCAAGTGACTCAAATCTACAACTCTGCTGTTAGAAAACCTTACTTGAACCTATCGCTGAACGGTAGCCTTTCACTATTGAAAACTGATTAGTCTTGAGTGAATCATTCTATGCGGAAAATCACTGATATGGTCCACAGTCGCTGTGGATGGATCATTATCGTCCATCTGTAGCAAGGTATGAGACGGAGAGAACCCCCTTGCTTTGTGTTGGTCATTGTCTACCAGGAATCTGGGGAATTCCTTTCAGACATCTTGGGGGATGTGTTAAGTAACAATAGTCTGGAATGTGTATAGGGATAGGACATGTTGGGGGGTACTCATCGGTCTCATTTCTTGCTGGGTATATTATCGTCGTCAGCTGTTGTATGAGACCAGTATATTCAGCCTCTACGACTACGGATGTAGCGTTTTG